TTGAGAAGGATGATACACATCAGATCGTTCTCCACTTCAAATATTCAAATTAATTAATTTATCCAATAAGTCACTGGGATATTTTTTTGAGCTATAAAATAATTAGGCACCTAATTTGTATCAAAGAAATGATCTAAAAAAAGAAGCATAAATGCTAATATAATCAACAGCCAATCCTAATTTTTCTGCTATAATTTTTGACCAAAAGGTGGAGGCATTATGATTGAATTCCTTTTAAATATTATCTCTGTGCTCTAAATCCAATTTTAAGTACACAGTATCTAACAAATAACATATAAACTCTTATCAAAGAAATTCTTTATATATCAAATGTGTTAAAGAAATTTGACCAACTTTCAAAGTGCTCTTACTTTTGCCAAGTGTACTGTGTAAATCAATGTTTCTCAACCTCTAATGAATCGTCGTCCCTTCAATAAAACCATTACGTAGTATTGCTCCCTTCACTACAAAATTCTGATGCCCAGGGACAAGGCTAACGCCAAATTCGTACTGCATTGAATAGACTAGTGACTATATAATGTTATTCGTTTAATTATTTTACGATATAACAAATAAAATATCTAATTATTCTTAATATAATGTTTTACTACCAGGTTGTTCAATAAGTTTTGTCGTTCGATAAAAGGTGGCGCTACTAGGAGCGTCACTTTATTATTCTATAAATAGTACTACTATTTCATAAACACGTGTCAAGTTTCAAGTAGATCCGTCAACTCATTGTATATTTGCAGCTGTTCAAAGTCGACGTGTCATTGTATTTTTTTACGATGGAAAAAATCGAATATCGTGCAGTGATAAAATTCTTATTTTTGGAAGGTGTAGCACCAAAACAAATTCATGAACGATTGTTAAAAGTGTATAAGGACTCTTCACCTTCAATCAGAACAGTAGAAAGATGGGTTGCTGAATTTAAACGTGGTCGTACGAGTCTTGAAGACGATCCACGTGAAGGGCGTCCAAAAAGTGCATCAACACCAGAAATCGTAGCAAAAATACAGCATATGGTTTTGGAAGATCGTCGATTAACCGAGAGAGATTTAGTAGAAGCCCTAGGGATTTCGTTAGGCAGTGTGAGCAATATTTTGGCCGAAGTTTTGGGTTACAGAAAGCTGTGTGCACAATGGGTGCCGCATTCGTTAACTATGGAACAAAAACACATTCGAATGCAACTTTCTCAGCAACATTTGGAGCGTTTTAGAAAGGATAAAAAGGATTTTGTGCGTCGTTTCATCACTATGGATGAGACATGGGTCTACCACCATGATCCTGAATCAAAACAAGAGGCTAAAGAGTGGTGTGAACCCGGTACTTCGGCTCCGAAGCGTGTTAGGGTCCAGAAATCGGCCAAGAAGGTGTTAGCATCAGTTTTTTGGGATGCAAAAGGAATTTTGTTTGTGGATTACCTCCAAACTGGTAAAACAATAAACTCAGATTATTATTGTAACCTTTTGGACCAGCTAGATGTAAAAATTCGTGAGAAAAGACCTGGTTTAAAAAAGAAAAAAATCATTTTTCATCAAGACAACGCCCCCTCTCACACAGCTCAAAAAACCATTGCGAAAATCAGTAAATTAAAATACGAATTGTTGCAACATCCTCCCTATTCGCCAGATTTAGCTCCCTCTGACTTCTGGCTGTTCTCACATCTAAAAAAATTCATGCGTGGGAAACGATTTTCATCGAACGAAGAGGTAATAGCAGCCGTGGATGCGTATTTCGACAGTCTTCCGGATTCTCACTTTAGGGATGGAATCCATAAATTAGAAGATCACTGGAACAAGTGTATTGAAGTTCAGGGAGATTATATTGAATAATAAAATGTATTTCAAACCATAAAATCGTGTTTTTCTTATCGAACGACAAAACTTATTGAACAACCTGGTATATCACCCAGAAAATTTTTTTTTTGCCCCCCAAAATATAAATTGTTACTAATCATCCCCTGAACACAGAAAAACGCCCACATAGGGGCGATATCGCCCCCGTTGAGAAACACTGGTGTAAATGCAAGGCTTTGTGAAGTGCACTTGACTTGGGAAAAAATTGTTTAAAAATGTATTTAATATCACGTTTCTTTACATGATATTAAATACATTTTTAACTCACAGGTTTTTCCTCTTTTATTTATATATACAGTGGGTGATCGGTTAACGAACATAATCCGTTCCAAGACTTTGTTCGTTATCCGAATTGTTCGTTAACCGATTATCGATTTACCATAGGTTTGTATGGGAATTTGATTAATTCGTTCCGAAGACTCCAAAAAATAAAAAAAATATATACTTTTTTTACTACATTTATTTACATGTAATAGTAAAAATACATACATATGCTGTCTTGCATTTTTATTAGTCATGTTTTATCCGTTTGTGGGGGTTAAACAATCTGTCCAATGTCGATTGCTTTTCTCTTTTCTTCAGGATTTTTCGGAAGTAATTAATAGTATTGTAATTGTAGAGATCCCCAACCCAATGAACCTTATTCTGCTTTGGTTGCCACTTGGATGATATAACATCCTCCCACTCCTTCAAAAGATCTTTAGTAGCAGATGTCGACATTGGTCCTCTTTCGTCTTCCTCTTTTCCAAAAGATAACACATTTCGCTGAGTTTCTCGGTATTCTTCATTTGAGAGTTCTTGGAGTTTTTCTGTCGTCAGATCAATTTCAGGTTCCATTATGAGCTCTAAAATGCTCTTTATTTCTCAGACGTAATTTTCATTACTCCATTAACAGCTTGAGACTTCTTGATATATCTTTCATAGCTAAGATTGAGCCTACTATAGACCTGTTCAAGCCATACTGCCTAGCAATATCAGACACCTTGTGCTCACTTTCTACCTTGGCTATTATCTCTTACTTGGTTTCTACAGTGAGCACAGTTCTTGACACTCCTCTTTTTAGGCTCCAAAATATTATCAGTTTCTTTTTTAAATAAAAAGTTCAGAAAAGCACTTACAAAAATTCAGAGAACAGAAATCAACTAGGCCACAAAAAATTATTTAAATACAAGGCCCAAATGAAATTCGAAATTTGGTATTAAAACGTTAACGAATATCCTTTCACCTTTCGTAAATAAACCCCGAAGCAAAATTTAACAAGTACCTGTCCGACAGTCTCGCGAAGACTACAAAAATTATTTGTCAGAAAGGTAAACAAAAAGCCGGAATTACAAGAGTGAGTTTCAAAATTTGGAGGAATACTATCCGATCGGTATCGAGTTGAGAGTCGATCTTACGTCTCCCGCGCTTCGGAAGGTCTCGAATTGTTACCTGAAGACGAGGGAAAATCAATTGGTATTCGTTATTTTCGGTCGCTTCTTTTTATGTTTATTCAGTAAAGTGTTCGTTATCCGAACATGTGTTCGTTGTTTGATCATAAAAATCTTTCGCAAAAGTGTTCGCTATCCAAACTGTTCGTTAACTGATCACCCACTGTATATATATATATTGTTTTGAGAATTGATCACTCATTGATATAAAAGAAATTTCAAGTTTTTTTCATTTGATATCACTGATATTTATTATAATGATGATAAACTCACAGGATACCAACTGGATAAATTAATGAGTTAGTTTTAATCTTATAATGATAATATGTTCAAACATAAATTATTAAAATTTCAGTTATAATTATATTAAAAAATTTATGTATAATATACATCAAACATTTGATGTGAAAGAACTTAGTTTGTAAATTAGTTTTTGAACTTTATTAATTATGAATCTTTTTATTTATCTTAGATATCTAATGTTTATGCATAACATACGTAATGGGCATCTGCCAGATGCAAACATGTCATTTGCCCCATCAAATGACTTGAAGTCTTTTTATAGCCTAATTTATCTGTTGAATTTTGATAGTCTATGGGCCTAGTTTACATTGGACAAGTAACATGGCCTTGGAATTGGGCCCAGTAACTCAAGCCAATCTCAACATTCCTTTAATTATTTTTTTTTTTTGTTGGTGTTTAAACAATATTATTTTAATGTGACAGTAGAAGAGACAGTTGCTCAGAAAATAGCAACTATATATGTTAATAAGCAGTGCCATATATGTTTTATATTGAAAAGAAAGGTGTTTACCAAGAATTTATAATGTTTTATTGGATGAAATTACAACATTATTGAGGAGGGAAAAACAGGAGAAAAAAGTTGTGGGTGCATGAATGCATAGGAAAGAGAGACAGCTTAGGTGCATCTTCACTTCTTGAGAACATGCAGCTGAGGATGTTAAGAAATTTACAGTGTATTTATGAGTGACTCCACAAAAATTTGAAACAGGTTTGTGTATGGTTGCTCCTAAAATTCAGAAACAAGACACTCAAATAAGAGATGCAATGTTAGCACAAATGAAGTTGTAAGTGACCTTGAATTTTATGGGTGAGTGGCAAGCTACTGTGTTTCTGTTCTACCAGTCAACTTGTCCATTTACTTGATTATTTACTTGCCCAGTTGTCCAAATGGATAAGCTTTTAGTGACTTGACTCTCTATTCTACTATTTACTTGACTGATGTAAGCTAAGCTTTATGTCAGGACTCACTGCATTTGCCTGACCCCATTACCACTATATCATATGAGGGCCCAAAGGTGGTATAATTTTATGGCAATAGAAGTATATCCTTTTGCTGCCCCCTTGAAAAAATTATGGTGGGCAGCCATGGATATGCATGTATATTTAATATGTTTCCTGATTACATATTTTTATGAGAAGTTTTCTTTTTCCACTGATACTGTTTGTTAGGGTGTCTGAAAAATTACTGTGCAATGAGAAATTTGTAATGACATTAACATTACATTACACTACTAGTACATACAACTTTGTCTCATATGCAATACTGTAAGTATAACTTTACTGTCATTACAAATTTTTCACTGCATGGTAACTTTTTGGACACCCTACATAAAAAAATAGAAAGTACACTTTCAGAAAAAGATATTACAAGTATCAATAAAATTTTTATGGTAATTTAATCTTTTAGGTGGTAGTACCAACACCAGATGGCCATCGTGCCCCAATTGCTGAGCTTTTCCATACAACTCATAGTGTGAATACGCAAACACCTTTAGGAGGAAGGGAGAGTTTCTCCAGCAGTGGAAGTCGGAGTCAGTCAACATCTCCATTAGTACCCATTTTTCCAGGATCACTCGATACTTACTCATCTGTTAATAGAGGTTAGGTTTATTAAGATTAACTTCTAGAATTAATTCTTGTTTTTATTTATTTGATGCAAATTAAGTAGTTTACAAACTTGGAATTAATTTTCTTGATAAAATTATCACAACTCTATTTAAAGTTTTCAAATAATCCTGTTAGAATTGCTTTTTAATTTTCTTACAATGGCAGTTTACATTATGAAAAATTGTTTATATTATTTATGAAACAATAGAACAAGTCTAAATTATTTCAGGTTTTAAATTGCAAAATTATTGCAATTGAAATTTGTTGATTCTAAAAAGAGGTATCATCAAGTAAAATTGATAAAACTGGAAAATTGATGTTTATCAAAGTTTATCTTTTTTAAAATTAATTAAAACATAGAAAAATTAGGAAAAATAGGTAGTGTAAAATCAAAATCATTCTATATTAAAAGTATTCATTCCAAAATTTTAACTGAATTAATATTAAATGTAAAAATTTATTTTTCAGATGAAAATTTTAGTGCATCTCCAGATACAGAAAATGTTCCAAAATTAGGTACAAGTCCTCATATCAATAAATTTCTAGCACGTGAACCACCAGATGGTTGTGAGAAAGTGAAAGTTATTGATGAACCAAGGTTTGGAAATTTTGAATATATTATACCTTAATTTTGTTGAATTTTTCATTTTCTTATGGAATTTTGAATAATAAAAAAAGTATTTTTGTATATATTTATTATAATTATTAAAGGACCAAGTGGATATTTAATGGTAACAAATACACTTTTAAATACATCACCAAACGATCGCCTAAATATCGGGCTATAATACGGCTAATTAAATGATTGGCTGCGGGTTCGAGTCCCTCCCCGGGCCAGTTCTTTTATTCCAGAAGATTCTAAATTTATTTATTGATTTATTTATTTAATTATTAATTTACTTAAGAGATGGCGCCTAACGTCTACCTCTAGTGTCAAATTACTTTATTCCAATCATTTAATTAGCCGTATTATAGCCCGATATTTAGGCGATCGTTTGGTGATGTATTTACTACTCGGGCTATGAGTTGTTGATATTTATATATATATATATACCTCGCCGGGTGTTGCGTTAGCTGGCTGAGTGCCGCTATGGCCGTGGGCGAAGGAGTCGTCCCCAGTCAGTGATGTATTTAACCAAGTAAGGTTATATCTAAATCTAATATACTTCTGGAAGCGAAGACTAGCTCGAGGGTCTGGGTAGCGTAACTGGTAAGCGCGCCGCACGGCAAGCGGAGGCTGCGGGTTCGAGTCCCGCCCCGGGCCAGTTCTTTTATTCCAGAAGATTCTAAATTTATTTATTGATTTATTTATTTAATTATTAATTTACTTAAGAGATGGCGCCTAACGTCTACCTCTAGTGTCAAATTACTTTATTCCAATCATTTAATTAGCCGTATTATAGCCCGATATTTAGGCGATCGTTTGGTGATGTATTTACTACTCGGGCTATGAGATGTTGATATTTATACACTTTTAAAATTCCAGTAACTAGAATAAACATTTTTGGCCATGTTTAAAGACCTTCCTTGGGTTGTTAATCAAATGTCAACATACATAAAAGAATGAAACAGGAATAATTTAAACCATAGAACATTAGATGAATTCAAAACCATTAGAACATGCAATTCTTTATAAAATTTAAACATTCAAGGTCTGTTCAAAAAATAACCAAACTTTTTGAATTAAGCAAAGACGGAGTGTCCTAGTATTGTGAAGTTGACAACACGATGTTTGTGATAATCTACCGAGTAAGCTGCTTTTTTCAGATTGCTGATATCTGATGTCATTCCCTTGTTATTGTTTTTTGAGTGAAAGGTGTTTCTGCATTCATGGCAATTTTTGCAATGTGTGATTTACAGGAGCAATGATGCAACATGAAGTTTTGCATGAAACTGGGGAAAACTTTTACAGAAACATTTCAACTTTTGAATCAAGCTTATGGAGGCGATACTCTAGGTCAATGGTATTCAAACATTTTAACAGTGCGACCCCAAGGTAATTTTCTGCGATCCATAGATTGAATACCACTGCTCTAGGTCGTACACAGTGTTTTGAATGGTTTACCCAATTTAAAAGTGTCCATCAATTAGTTGAAGATAACCCTCATGTTCAGAAATTCAGATTTGTGCACTTGGAATTTTTGCCTCAAGGTTAAACAGTCAACTATCAGTACTACGCAGGTGTTTTGAAACAATTATGTGAAAAGTTCGCAAAAAGAGATTAGAGTGCGGCAAGACAATTCATGGTTCCTTCACCACGACAACATGCCTGCTCACTCAGTCTTGTCAATTTGCCAGTTTTGTACCAAAAATCAAATGACTGTCCTTCCCTGTCTCCCAACTTACCAGACCTGGCTCCTTGAGATTTTTTCTTGTTTACAATCAGTGCTGAAAGGAGGCCATTTTGACACAATTGATGACAAGCATTGAAGGACAGTCCAAAACAAGCTTACCAGGACTGCTTTGCAAAGTGGAAACACTGCTGGGATAAGTGTATGAATAGGGGAGGGGAGTACTTTAAAGGGGACAAGGACCAATAATCAGTAACTTGAAGAATAAAAATTAAAAAATTGAAGTTCAGTTATTTTTTTGAACAGATCTCGTAAAGGATGAAATAAAATAAATAATAAATTTGCTGGAATTTTAAATCTGTATTTGTTACTAAAAATATTATTAGTAAAATCATGTGTTACTTAATCTTTAATAATATAAGATTTTATCTTAATAATTAATTTTGTAAATGAACAATTATTGTTTTTAATTAATCAAATACTGTATATTAAACAGGAAAGAAATAAAAGACCAAAAAATTAAAAATTTTACAATACAATATATTTTCCATACATACATATATATATATAGTACATAATTTTATTGAAGGGTTATCATACAATTGAAACCTTTATTGCCTTATATGCCTCCTAAAATGTGTTATTGGCACCTCGTCAGTTAGATAATCATATATTAAATATAAGGCAAAAAATTTCTAATAATGTTACAAGACTCACACCTTCATAAACCACATAATATCATTAAAATAAAATATATAAATCATATACTTAGCTGTCAATGGCATTACAAATTACATGATGAACATTATAACACTATATTATACAGCACAGTAAATTATCTAAAATGTGTTTCACCAATATTACTGTAATAAAAACTTATGACTTTATGTTCTTCTCATTCATCACTGAGTCATAAATCAAAATTATGTACTAGATACGTACTGAAAGTATATTGTATTATATAAACAAAGAGATTAAAGGCTAATTGATAAATAAAAATTTTATATTAACCTAAACTAACTTATGACATGTATACCAAGTGTGGCACAGGAAATAATTTCTTATAGCATGCAGCAGGATTCTACAGTCATGGCTCAGAAAAGCAAATGATTAAATGGCATAAGAAATAATTAAGTATTATGTTTGTAATTGATTCATTGACAGTTCAGAACAACTTTCTTTCAATTTTTATTATTATTATTTTTGGCATATATTCCTTCCACTATACAACTGTTTTGACTTATCTCTTTAGTATTTAGATTTAATAGAAACTTCAACATGTCAATTACAAATGAAGCTTTAGGTTTTATAAAATCCACATGTTCACAACATGTAACATGAACTTCTAAATTGTTCTTTTAGTCTGCTCAATAAGAATACTTTGAGACCAGTTTGCTAATCTTTCATACTTACTATTGTTAACAATTATTGAAAGAAATGTAGATGATAAACTGGAAATGTGAATATTAGTTTGCTTATGATTAACTTTTTCACTGGCAGGTTTTAGTTCTTGGTAAAGCCTGGTGACAAGTTTCAATAATTTTGGATTTTTTGGTGTTATGTAAATTATATAAATCATCTGACTAAAATTCTTTATTTTGAATATTTAAATTTTTTTTTTGTTTTCTTAAAATGTAAGTGTGATAAGTACTTTTCAGTTTACTATGATTTGTTATAAGATGTTTACTGTTGTAATTAAAAATTATGGACAAAACTATATGTTAACATTGAGTAATGTTATAAATTTTGTGATAAAGAATAAAAATACATTAATTTGAAAAAACAATGAAATAAAGATTACCATGAGACACATCTATTTAAGAAAAAAAATAAGTTTCAGCAAATAGTATTCAAATTTTTCTAAGTATGAGAAATTCTCAGGTCAGTGCTACCAAAACATACCAAAAATTGTCATTTGTGCCAGTAAAAATGTTAAATGATAAAAATACCATGGGTATGTTTCTGTAGAAAAGTTGATATTAATACAAATAATTAACATATATATATATATGTATATAAATTAATTAATTAATTGGTAAAGCCTGGTGACAAGTTTCAATAATTTTGGATTTTTTGGTGTTATGTAAATTATATAAATCATCTGACTAAAATTCTTTATTTTGAATATTTAAATTTTTTTTTTGTTTTCTTAAAATGTAAGTGTGATAAGTACTTTTCAGTTTACTATGATTTGTTATAAGATGTTTACTGTTGTAATTAAAAATTATGGACAAAACTATATGTTAACATTGAGTAATGTTATAAATTTTGTGATAAAGAATAAAAATACATTAATTTGAAAAAACAATGAAATAAAGATTACCATGAGACACATCTATTTAAGAAAAAAAATAAGTTTCAGCAAATAGTATTCAAATTTTTCTAAGTATGAGAAATTCTCAGGTCAGTGCTACCAAAACATACCAAAAATTGTCATTTGTGCCAGTAAAAATGTTAAATGATAAAAATACCATGGGTATGTTTCTGTAGAAAAGTTGATATTAATACAAATAATTAACATATATATATATATGTATATAAATTAATTAATTAATTGGTAAAGCCTGGTGACAAGTTTTATATATATATATACATACATAGTACAATCCAAAAGTTCGGGGACTTGGCTTAAAATTCCCTACCTTAAAAAGTTTATATTGCCGATGCATAACCTCCTTTAAAGTAATCCCTTGGGCGTTCATCGTCTGTGGTGGATTCTCGGCCCTCTTTAAAGTGCCGATGCCATTTGTACACCTTTGATTTCACCATGGTAAAATCACCGTACACCTTTCTTAGCAATTTTAAAGTCTCTGTAGGTGTTTTACCTAAATGCTGACAAAATTTAATGTTGCAGCGCTGTTCTTGAAACTCCATTTTTATTACAGCGCAAAAGAAAGGTAACACAACTCCGAAAGAAAACAGCAGCGCTTGCGGTTTAATCACGTGACATGGGCGAAACCAACCTGAACACGTAGGAAAGGTTTGATAGAATCAATTTCATATGCTGTAACTTCAAATACATGCTTTTGTTGTCATACATTACTGCAGTCCCCAAACTTTTGGATCGTATCACGTATATATATACATTAATTGCCATAAAAATTAGTGCATAAATGAAATTGCACATGTGTGAGTGTAATGGTGATGAATAGTGAGTACAAATGAAAGCAAAAGGATCATTTATTGCAGGAAAAACTACAAATGAAAGGAGATTCTAGTACCCTATTGGGCCACTTCTAGTGTAAATACATGATATGATACAGGTGCCATATGGAGTCCTGTGGCATCTCAGTCCACAGTTGCTGCA